ACATCATCCTGTTGTTTTTACTCTTTCCTACTACCTTTCTTATCTATTAAAATCATGGTTATTAAAATCCAAATGCATAACAAATTACAAAATCTCATATGAATGCCAATGTTTTAAAAAGAGGTCGTGTTGACATTTTGCTTTTCTAATTTTGCATGAAAGAAAATGATCACATTCTTCCATTTTATATAAAGCAAAAGTTCTGGGTCTAAAACTCAAAACTGAATCTTTAAAATAGTATTACTGTTAATGCATAGTTTAAGAAATTGGCTATGTAAATCTGAAGGTAGAGTTTTACCTGAAGGTGACAGGTTTACCAAGTGAAGTACTAATAGAAATCTATTATAGCTCTGGCTCTGTGCTTCAGGTAAGAGCTACATACTAATTCCAGCTGCTCTTAACACATGGCAGCATTAAGAACCTGAGCTCTGTGATGTTTACTCTTTCCTTAATGTAGCACAGTAACTGATATTCGTTTCTATTTTTTCCATTGGTTTTATTTTGTTCTTTAAGGAAATTGCGTTATGGTTTGAAAAGTATACCATGTGTTGAATGCTGTCCTCCCTAGATCACATGCACTATCATAAAAAAGAAGTTGTATTAGTTATAAATATTTGGTAATCTGTATACAAAGCAGATCTTAGAAGTCAGGCTTAATCAATTCTTGCTGTGCTAGTTGCTTTAGTGGCATTTTTACGAGTTTTCTTCTTCAAACTGTTCTTTTAGACTGCAGGCAAATCTGATTAAATTGCAATGTTGGTTCTGTGTTTATTCAACCACTAAGGAGCATCTGGTTAAAACATTTTATAACAATTCACAGTAGTAGACAAGTTTCTCCAAAGTATTTCAAAATTGAAATTGAAAATGTAAAAGCGATCTCAGTAAAAACTACTTGATAAGAAGGTTACACAGTAATTTTCATGGTCTTTTAAACTGTAAGAAAAGGAGTTCCCTGTAGTGAGTGATTTCTGAAGTGTGTTCTGCTGCTCAGCATGGAGGAAGTGGTGTTAATGTTCCATGGAGCAACACTTACAGTTCCTGCAGCCCTCAGGCCATGCCACACCTGCCTTTTCTCTTGGGCTCCCTCCCAGTCTGTGAGCAGCAAGGAATCCAGCAATAGGACAGGAAGGTTGTGCTTAGCCCAGCATCCTCAGTGGGTCCTTGAAACTCCCTCTTGAGCCTTTTCCTGCAGTCCAAGTCAGAACTGTGTGTGTATTCCTGTGTCACCTGCTGCACCTTCAGTGTAGGAACCACAGCTAGGATTTAATTTGAACATATCAGTGATGTGCAGTCAGTACCACTCCCATGTGTAGATATCCTCAGCAAGAACTGATTAAGCCTGACTTCTAAGATCTGCTTTGTATACAGGTTACCAAATATTTATAACTAATACAACTTCTTTTTTATAATAGTGTATGTGATCTAGGGAGGACAGCATTCAACACATGGTATACTTTTCAAACCATAACACAATTTCCTTAAAGAACAAAATAAAACCAATGGAAAAAATAGAAATGAATATCAGTTACTGTGCTACATTAAGGAAAGAGTAAACATCACAGAGCTCAGGTTCTTAATGCTGCCATGTGTTAAGAGCAGCTGGAATTAGTATGTAGCTCTTAGCTGAAGCACAGAGCCAGAGCTATAATAGATTTCTATTAGTACTTCACTTGGTAAACCTATCACCTTCAGGTAAAACTCTACCTTCAGATTTACATAGCCAATCTCTGTGACATGAGATCAGAAGCTACAAATCCTTCCCACATCTGATGCTATGAACTTGTCACTGCCAAGGACTGCATTGACACACTCATGTAAGACTCTGTGAGTCATTAAGACTCTGGGATCTGTTCAAGTGCTCCCTTTTCCTGTGTTGCTTCTTTTGTAGGTCTTCATGTTACTGTGAAAGTTCTGTTGCTGGAAGTGTGATTTTCCTCATCATTACACTTCTTTTCTAGCTGAATTGTAGCATTCTGGAATGCTGTTGCGGACAAAGTGACAAGCTCTTCAGAATAGCTGTTCTTAAGGGATTAAATGATTATCATCTCTGTCGCATTTCTTTCATCTTATAATCAACCTCAAGATGGTACTGGATAACTCAGTTTGAAGTGATTAGATATTTGAATTAGAAAGTATTTGATCTCCTTTTTAACTGTGTTTAAACAGGTGTATTTCTTTCCGTTAATGTTAATATACTTCTGGTTCCTTATAACTATAATATTCCCTTACTCGAATATTTGAGTGACATTTAGAGCATAAATCTATCTAACAGGAACTGATATACTAGGGAAAAAAAATCACACTCTCTTATTTACATAGATACTAATAAATACAAACAAGAAATTACAAAATGTTTCTGTACCTTAGGTTATAGAGAATGAAAACTTAGTGTTTCAGAGAAGGCTTAATGGGAGACAGGACCTTTCAATTAAATAATCACTAGTTTTCAAAAGCTTTTATTACATTGTGATTATTTAATTGTTACTGTTTCTAACATGAATTGATTACAGAGCAGTTTTTATTGATAAAACCAATATTTTCGTTAATATTGTACAGCTTCCATTTTGGTAATTTTTACAGTGTTGCTAAGATCCATATGTCCCTGAAAAAAATTTAATTTATATTCATTCTTTGCTGAATATGGTGTTTCTGGATTTTCAGTCCTTTAAAAAATTTAATCTTTGCACATGAGATGTGACATAAGAAATTCAGTTTTTTATATAATCTTAAATATATTATTGTCTAATAAAAATTAAATGGTATTATTAAAAATGCCTAACACATGCATTACTTTCTTGGTCTGTTAGGCATTTACAATTCTGTCTCACTGAAAATAAATTACACTTTGGTTCTCAAGCCTTTTAAGTGTTTTCAAAATTTTTACTATACTTCCTAATATTTTGAGTTTTTTCCTGAGGGTTTCTAAAATACCTTGCTCTCATCTGTAGGATTTTTTTTACAATTGGATTAATCATCACTGACCTGGAATATCAGGATTCATGTAAGACAGGCAGTGCCACTACATTTGGAAGAAACAGTGAAAACAGTGAATTCTCTTATATTTGGATATTTTTGTGTACTTTGTTATTTTTGTAGCTGAGTCATTTTCAGAACAAATAGGGGTAACACTTAAGTGTGATTCTATTGTCCTTCAGTGGGTCCTATTACAGCAAGCAAAAACTTGCTGTATTTTTGTGAATTTGTTTCAAACTGCTGTGTTGCTATTATTACTACAAAAGAGCTAGTTGCTGAGATTAAGATCCAAAAATGTGCATCTAGTACTCAAAAGCAAGAGGTCATGCTTTGGATGTTAGGCACATATTCAACATTCAACTTTTTAAACTATTGTCTCGTAAATCTCTATCTCCAGCAGAAAATAAGTTTTGTCTTTAATGGAGCTGCAGGTTCTCAGTTGATCCTTAGGTATTCTGCTCCTGGATTATTGGACAGACAGAGACATCAAACTTGGCCCAGTATTTCATAGGAGCCAGTGCAGAAGGTGAAAGCAGATTTGAGCTGCAGAGGAAATGTGCTGCTGTGTTCTGTACTCTTTTGAGTTTCTCTAGGGCTAATGGCTCCATGCCCAAGATATTCAGCTGTAGTCCAGCTGAAAGGTGACAAAAGTGACAAAAGTATGTACTACCAAATCATCAACAGTAAAGTTTTTTGTACCTGTTAAAAATTTTTGTACCTGTTTCATTGTCAGAGATGTCCAGGATCAGTTCTAAGTTGCAGACTGACTTGTCTAAATGGGGTTGTGTAATATCATGCAGTCGGTACTGTGCCAGAAGCTCTTTGAAGTGTTTCTTCCAGCTACTAAGTGTAACTTATCTTTTCCTCAGTTTCTGCTTCCACTTTCTGCTTTTTATCCATGAGCTCAAGTACTGAGCAGTCTACATAGTGTTTTCAGTGGAGTTCATGACATCTTTCTAGTTCTTTCAGTATTTGTGTATTTTAAATATATTTGAAGAAAAAGGCAACCACGAGGAACATTTTCCTACTACTCCTCTCTGCTTATGACTCTCTTGAAATAAACTGTTTCAAAACAGTCAGCCTCTTTTACATGCTGTTCATAGTTCATTGGCTGTGTCAAATGTTTTAGAGAGGCTGAACAAAAAAGAGGGGGGAGACTCCAGTGCTCTTAATGTGGATTGTCTAACAGTGACAGTAATGCCCTTTCTAGCCCATGTCCTGGAATAAATTCAGATCATGACAGGTGCTTGGTAGTACCCAGTTGAAAGTGTAGGCAACAAGAATGTAATAATTGAGATCTAGCAAGAATATATTTTGAATGTGATGTTGGGTTCAGATGTGTGCTTATAGTGCTGTCTTAACTTGTGAAGCTCAAAGCATAAACTCTGCTGCAACGTGGCAGCTGCACAGCAATGAGCACATGTGCATTTGAAAGCATGAGAACCAAGCAGGCTGTTTGCAAAAGATAAGCATTTAAGACAGCGAGAAAATTAGTGTTCATCAAAGAGGACATTTGCCACTTCTTTCAAAGTTTGCACCATGGGTTTGCAGCCTTGGACAAATAGGAGAACTCAACTGACCACCTCTCAGCCTATTCATGTGCCCATGACCTTCAATACTCAACTTTTGATCTCTTTATAAAAACAGGATCCTGTGTCACAGAGTATCTACTTTGTCCATTCTAGAGCATTGTCTCAAAAATGACTTAGAGGAATGAGTATTGTACCGCTAGCAAGACTCTAGCAGTATGTGTTCTTTTACAGAGCACACATTTTATTTGAATCTTTTCATATCTGATTCTACCTAGCTTGCAAGATCTGAGAGTGCAGCTTTAAATAGTAAGGCTAAACATGAAATATATATGTGTGTGTGGTTTTTTCTTCCTAAAGTCTGCAAGTCAGCTAGAGAATAGTATTTTTTTTCAGTACTAGAATAAAATATATTAAGATGTAAAGGAGGCAAAAATTATACACTATCCAGCTACACTGAATTCAGTTGCTTGGTGATGTTTAACTATTTTCATTTCTCCAGGGAACATGGGGAGATTGCAGGTGATCCTCTGCTCAAACTGGAGCTTTAGGTGGGTACATGCCCTCCTCTGAATCTTCCAAAGCTGGGTGAGCAAGGTAAACAGCTGTCATACAGTGGGCCCTGGGCTCAGCAAAGTGATGTCTAATGAGCAGACCTAAAGATCTGGCAGCACTGAAAAGCAAGGTGACCATTTGCGTTTTTGAGTTTAAGGAAGTTTTAAACTAAGTTCCAATTTAGACAGCGCTTCAATGTACTAATCTACGCATCTATTTTTGATTAGATTTGTTGGTGTCTTTTCTTATAGGTATGTGCTCATTTCTTTCCCAAGTTATGTCTGTTGTATTTTATAGTTCCTTGTTAAATGTAACCTCAGGCTTGACTGGAACTTTAAGGCAACAGCAGTAGATGAATACTAATTATAAAAATAGTTAACTATGTAAACCGTGAAGTAAAACATTTCATGTTTTCAAATAAATCTATTCAGAAGAGATAAAAGGATAAAAAATATTAAATACTTTATATATATCTAAGATTTGCTTTTTAAATTCCTTTTTTTTCCCCTCATCAGGCAAGTTAGTACCACGGAACAAATAGCCAGTCTCTGAATCAGCCTCAGGGCTTTTACTGAGTAATTAAAAGCTCTCAAGTTAGTTAGACATCTAGTTCTCAGCAAGTATGATGGATTTAAAGGAGTTCCACTTCATGAAATGGGAAGAACTGAGGAATTATATGTTCTTTTGACCTAAGTATAGTGATTAGGATTTATTTAAATATTTTAGCTTGAATATTTGTACATTATAGGCCATATTGTTTAACTCTTTTTCCTAAACATTTTTGGTTTATTCTTAATTTTATCTCCTCTTAACCTTTGTTTCTGGTTCTTGTTCAATAGCTCTTTGATATTAAGTAATAACTCTGTGGACCTACACTATGGTCATGTCAGAAGGGCCTGATGGGAACAGGAATTTCTATTTCCGGATGATTTTTTGGCAGGTAAGGTTTCTGCATCACCTAATATTTCAAGTACTCTTTTTAAAGAACAGATACCAGGATTGAAGGCAGTATTCCAGTGCTGGTGTTACACAGGGCATTTTACATCTGCAGCATAAATAACACTTCTACCTTATTTGTGTAACTTGTGTAATTTGTGTAAAAATGGGTTCACTCTTTATGTCAACATAAGATTCTTAAAAGGTTATTTTCCCAGTAAGATTCCAGAGTTCTGTATGGTCACCTTTCTATGACAAATCTTGCGTTTGGGACAGATTTCTTTTTCCCAGCCTTCTAGTTTTCACTCTACAAGAAGTATTTTGTTTGAACAGGCAAGTTTAATGCACAATTCAGCCTATTGTATCCAAGTACCATGCCTTCCATGTTACATACTATTGCATCATTCTCTGACTAATCCATAACAAATATTTTTGTATAACATGATATACAAATGATATATGATATAACATTTTATCATTAAACAGTTATTATATTCTATATTACACATTAAATATTGCCTAGTAAGAATTATAGAGTGTATTATAGATTATGTGGTACATAAAATTATATTATTAGATATTATTATACTCCATATATTATTAGTTCTACTGAATTCCAAATCAGGGATTAAAATATTTATTAATGATATTGTTCCAACAATTGCTCATTAAATAAATCCACCAGAAGCACACATTTGGTGGTGGTTCCCAATGGCAATTCTTTCTTGAGCTCTGCAAGGCATTTCTTGTTTTGCCTATAAAACCTGGAGATCCTTGTGGATTTCAGTAGATCTGATCTAAGGGTCAGAAGAGTAAGAGCAAGTAGTAAACAAGGCTCACATATTTATAGGTAATTTATAAGGAATTCAGAAAATAGGACCAGTTAAGAAAGAATTAAAATTTAATTCTTAAACTTTAAATTTGGCAGATCTAGGATGTCCAAGACTATTTCCATTGTTCAGAGAGAAGAAAACCAGGAAAGTACACCTCAATGGATAAGGTATATTGCAGGTGGAAAATAGGACATCAAGAACAAAGTGTATTACAGTTACTGAAAGCAGTAGACAGGCAGCACACTCATAAAAAAGGAGGGCAGTATTTATTACAGAGAAGAAATACCTGGAGGTAGTATATATTGTTGGTGGAGTTCTCCCCTGTTAATAATTCATTTGTTGTCCACTTTTCAAAATAATTGCAAAAAATCTGAACAGCGTTGAAGGTAAAGGGAAGTGCATTTCTATCTTAAAAGTAATATAATTCTGTGACAATTTGAATGCTTCCTGATGCTCTCCTGCCTAGCTGAAACTTCTGACTGCCATTACTCTGATAGCAGGTGCTGTTTCAGGAGGCAAAACCAAGGGGGATCTTCATAATTTTTCTGTGTTTACTAAAGATCAGAATGTATATTCTCAACATTTAGGTTTTTAAAGAAGTGAAATTAATATATACATTAGTAACGAAGCAGCTGTGAAGCTCTGCAGGAATCCCACCAACAGGGAAGCAAGCAGGATAAGCAGAAAGAGCCAGCTGGTTAATCAGAAGAGAAAGCAGCTTGTTGAAGAAGCTGTCATATCAGAATCTTCAGTTGGTGGGTCATTTTGTCATTGCCAGGGACTCCTTACATTAAGTGTCGTTTTTGCTGTCATTGCTTAATCAGGATGACAGCTTTGGTTCTAAATGGAGTGAAAATCTTGCCCCTAATTTAAATTGTTCCCTGATAATTTATTTAGAAATATCAAATAAATGGAAAAGCAGCAAAATTTGGATGTGCCAGATATAATCAATTTTTAACTCTGGATGTAAACTTTATTTTTAAACCGTCAAGATTATACATGTGGTCAATTTCTGCAGTCTCTAGCAATTGTTTTCAGGTTATTTGGTGGTGGTAGTTGTTTTCTGAATATTTTTCGTGTCGTGAGTTTCTTAGAGTAATTCCAGCTGAAATACAACATTTCAGGTCTGTGTCATGATAGTATAGTTTAATGTATATATTTAAGTGATGTTTCTGCTTACTCTCTGGAATTACATTGTAACAATATGGAATATTTTTTTGAATCTGTTTGTTTCACAGGCTTCTGCTTTGAAAGTCTGAGAAAAGGTTCTGTTCTTTTAATTGCTGTTTCCATAAGCAGTTTGCATGTGAAATTTTTTTAAATGGGGGAGGGTGACTTTTTCCAGTTAATATTATTTATTTTAACAAAAAGGCAGTAAAGCAGTCATTTCTGCCTCATGGCAGACAGACAACTTGGTATTCTACAGACATTTTGGCATTATTCAAGTCACAAGGAATAAAGTAAAAGAAGAACCAACAGTATGGGAGCCAAATATCATATATCTGTATTACTCGGAAGCTCAGTGCATCAAGGAGAGCTGAGAGAGTGTTGTAACAAGTGGCTCTGAAATAAAATGATTATTGAAGAAAAGGATGTCAGTACAAGGGTTAAATAGAATTTTCATTGAGTAGACAAACATGATTTGGAAAATTTTATCACTGGGCTGCATACAGTGAATGATAAAGTTTTAACAGGAAAGCCAGTTAGTTCCCTTGGAAATCGAATCCAGACTTTCTGACTGAAGCACAGGGAAGATAGTGTAAGAAATTGTGGAGAAGCTGTAAAGGAAAATTGCTGAATCAAAGGTAAGTAGCATTTCTTCAGTACTTTGACTTCATTGAAAATACAAGTTAGACCAAAATTTAACACAATTTGAAATTAGTGAAAAAGGTAGTAGGATTCTAAGGTCCTTTCTCCATGTGAAGTCACCATGGGTTTTCTGAGTAGGCTGCTCCCTATGACATTAAATTTAGATTGCATTGAATTATACAATGAGAAAAGGTATTTTAATTTAAAACAGGCTTTGGATTATCATGGACAGATTAGAAGAGTGAAAGGGAGGCATCATTATACTTGAAATTAGGCAAAAAAGAACTATGTCCAGAATCATACATAGAATGGTCAGGTTGAAAGGAACCTTGAAAATCATCTTGTTCTAACCCCTTGGACATGGACATTGACATCTTCCACTAGACAAGATTGCTCAGTGTCCCAACCAAGTGTGCCTTTAACACATCCTGAGGTGGAACATCCACAACTTCCCGGGACAACCTGTTCCAGTGTCTCACCACCCTCACTGTAAAGGATTTCTTCCATATATCTAACCCAAATTTCCCCTCTTTCAGTCTGAACACATTACTCCCTGTCCTATCACTACAGTTTGTGCCACAGAGTTCACCTCTGACTTCCCTGGAGGCCCCTTCAGCCCCTGGCAGGTTGCTCTGGGGTCTCCACACAACCTCCTCTCCAGGCTGAGCAGCCCCAACGTTCCCAACCTGTCTTCACAGGGGAGGTGCCCCAGTCCACTTCTCCACTTCTCTGGACTTGATCCAACAGTTCCATGTCCTTCTTATTTGGGAGAACCAGAAGCAGAAACACTTGTATAAAGGACTCCAGGCCTAAATCATCTATAGCATTTGAAATGTGGAAAATATTTAATGAGACAATAAATGTATTGTGAAAGCAACAAGGCAGTACTGCTGAATGGCTCACAGTACTCAAAAGCAGTTCAGATACAATCTAGCATGTTAATTCAGGAAACTGCACTCCTTAGCAGTTTCCTGAAATAATTTAAAGAAAATGCACAACTTTTCTTTTCTTACTGTATACACCTAAATAATGAGATAGCAGGGAACTTGATATATATAGATTTTGGAGAATTATGATAGAAATATTTATGAATGCTTAATCTCATTTGCATTACTACAATAAATAGGGAGAAAACTGCTATTCATGGCATGTCCTAAAAGCAGGGAAATGTAAATTGCAGGGAAATCATGATTTGAAGACCCAGCCTGTGTGCTTGGCATGCTTCTGTCTCTAAACCAGGAGGACTAGTATGTAATATTGCTGAGCCTTTAAGTGTGGAAAAAAATATGCACAATTAAGAAAATCACTTATTTCATGGACTGCTGCAGAAATAATTTACTTATACATATGGTATAATATCTTGTTATACCTTCCTCTGCTTAAAAAATGGTTGTTAAATAGCAAAGCTTAGAAGGCCAGGTATTATGCCTTTACATGTAGGCATTTGAAAAATTGCACTGTGTGTGGAAGGTAGGGGCCTCTGTAAGTTGTTGTTTCTTATAATACTTGAGTTAACTAGGAACCAAAAGTTTTTAGAAACAAGCATAGGAAATTCCTCTGATTTCAAACTCTATGACTTCTAAAGAGAAAGTAGTCTTTTTGGATTTAGTTATGGTAACTTGTAATGCTGTTTTACCCAATTTAAATGTATCATTATGGGTTTTAAGTCATACATTAGACAAGAAATTATTTGGAAAGCCAAGTAGCCATTTCTATGACTTTTAAAGCAATAGTCTTTTTGTTTGTTTAGGTTTTTTTGAGTAGTAACCAAAATGAATCATTACTCACATGGAAATGCTGTGAGAAAGAACCCTGACATTTTCATTCTCATTAGTATATCCCTTATGTTATGTTTGTCTTCCTGTATGTAATTTATGTGATACATGTGACATTTTCTCCTCACGGGTGTCTATAAAAACTTCTGCCTGCATAAAAGACATTAAATGACAACTTCCTTCCCAAGGTCAGCTTCAGTTTCTTAAAAGTCAAAGTGACTAAAGTCTTTAGTAGTAAAACTAATGATTGCTAAGAATGTTTGCATAATGGTGAAATCTTAAGCTAGTTTGAAGTTACCTTCTTCACTTGTAAATATCTGGTGTATGGGCATGGCATCAGAAATCTGAGCACAGTTTAATTTATCCTGGCTCTTATTTGACTTTAGAGATTTGTCCTACTGAGCAAAGCTGTTGAAAGCCAACTCAATGGCAGTCTCTGCTGGCTCTGCACTGCATTCACTGCTCTTCTTTTTAAGTAATAGAAAAGATTGCTTCATTCTCTGATTACCACTTAGGACAGATACTGAATTATCCAGATAAATGTAGAGTAGAATTGCAATCTCTACTGTATATTTTGGCATGTTTTATACTGATATGGATTAATGAAAATGTATTATTTATCAGATAAATACAGTATATTTCTAACTGCATGACTAAAAGATAGTGCCTATAAGAGAGTCTTTCCATACAAAAAGAAAAATATTATGGCCAAGTTCTGTATTTATGCTTTTATTTCAGGAACTTGAAGATCTGACTGTATGTAAATTGTTGTGGGGTTAGCTGGAAAAAAGCTGAAGTGACTGATGAATATATGCAGCTGTTTTTAAAATAAAAGGCTAGGCTCTATTTGAATGTGCATTCCTTTCTAATAAGTACTTATTTCAGTGAACTAATAAACATAAAACTTCAAAAGGCAGCTTATATTAAGCATCAGTCTTTTAGGTTATTCATTTACTCCATTTGGATTTATGGTTAAAATATTCCTGTCAGAAATAAAGTGCCATTTATCTAATCCAGTTTCCTATGAAAATACACTTAGGTGATTTTGGAAGACTTCAATTACCTAATTGTATGAGAGAATAATTTATATCTCACAGTCAGTAACTTGAGATGCTGATTATTAATCAATTTTCAGTGTAAGATCAGACAACCTACCCGAGGCACTACATACCTTGAAATATCTCAGTATATTTTGCTAAGAGTGTCAAATGAATAGTGACCTGTGAAATAAAGATCAATATGCTGTGACATAGTATTTTCATAATCACAGGGATGAATTTATCATTTGCTTGAGCTAAATGAAAATGAAAATTTAACACTCCAAGGCCATCTCGCTTTCACATTACTTTTGGCAATATTCCAAAAATCCGTGACTTTTAAATAAATGTAGCATTTCTTCAGATCACAGCAGCTAAGTACTTACCAGTTTATTTGTCATTTCCTTATCACCCGACATATTTTGCTAATCTCTGCTGAAAGGCTGTTCAGAAAGTGACTCTTAATTCAAAGAGTCCGTTAGTGGCTTTCAGGGTGTTGAACAAACACCATGTGAAGTTGAGGGCCATTTTTCAAGAGCAGCTTCCAAACATTAAACATGTGTGTCCTGGTTTATTTATAGCTGTAACTCAGATACTTTGTGTGAAACCTTTGCCTTCTGAAAATGAATGGCAAAACTCCCATTAACTTCAGTTTAGGCAGGTTATTAGCATTAACTTCTAGAATGCTCATGAAGTGATCTTCCAGTGCTAAATTCTGAGAATTCATTGCAATATTTAAAAAACCAAACTTTGCTATGTTGTTATTATGCAATCACTCAGGTATTTAAGTCTGTAATTTTTCTTTGAATGATCTGAACTACTTGTGAATAGCATAGATTATAACAATTTTTTTGTTAAAAAGTTCTTCAGTGGTTGATCTTTAAACACAGATACATTTTATACACTCTGACACATAGAGTCACTGAGAAGGGCACTTCAGCTATAAAGAGCATCAAATCACTTACAGGTTCAAAACAAATAAGAGGTAGTACTTAATCATAGAGCAGGTGTTCAGGCCATGGGCTTCACAACAGTTCAAAAAGCTGTTAGACAAATTAATGCAATAAATATACATCTCAATGACCTGCAGACATCCATGTGTGGTTTAGAGACTCTTGAATGTACCAAGGGAAGGTAAATAAAGGAATTATCACTTCCTAGGCCCCTTGGTAAGTTACCTTAATAGCCCATCAACCTCTTTTTTAAGTTCAGTTTTTCTACCTTTGGCTTCAATTTGCACCTATCTGTATGTCATTCCCTGTAAGGATAAAAAGATATTTAGTATCCAAAATACATTTCCTAAAGAGATACTTAAAGTGTTGATTTGAATGCATCAGTCCTTCAATCTTTTCAACCTCTTTTTTTTTCCCCCCCACAGATTATTTTAACATGCTATGCATGTTTTTTGGAAGTTGAACAGTTGCTGTTAATTTTTTTTCTCAATTCTTCTAAGTTCCTCAGTGTCCTTCTTGAAGTACAAGCACCAGAAAACAGACACAGTAATTCCTTCCTAATTTTCCTAACACTGTATTCTGAAATAAAATCACTCTTGCATTAGATTTAGATATTATCCTGCTTATATATTCAAGGATTGTATTCACAGTCTTAGGTAAAGCATCAGAGTAGATGATCTTCATTTGATTACTTTCTATGACTCCTCACCCTTTTCAGTTCCTGCTTCCAGGACAGCATCTCCATCTTGTAATTATGACCTGCATTCATCCTTCACTGATGAATAAACTCACATTTCTTTTTATTAGGATATATGGTATTTTAAAGGATCCTTTTCATCAAGGAACTGTCTGACTGGTCTATCTCCAGCTATCATGTTTTCTCTAAAGATTTGAATAAGGGTGGCCACATCTCAAACCTGAAAAGCAGTAGATTGTTGTCATGTTTTAGTCTTACACCAGAGCCAACAATGAGCTCAAGGAATTTAATTTCAATATTTCTGTGATGTCAGGCTGCCATTCCATGTTTATGGCCATGTAAGGTTCATCATTGCACAATGAGGCTTGAACTTGGTCTGATCAAGTCTATTTCATAGGAGGTTAATAGTTCATTGTAGTGAAATTAAGCACTAGTACAGACTGTTTATAGCCAACAGATGAGAAGAATCTTACCAAACAATGTTAAAAGTTCAAAAAAGACGGGAAGTTGATAGTTTGGGGGATTTCTGAAATAAATGAAGATTAGAAATATTTATTGAAGGAGAAAATAATGAAATTTTAATGTAAGTAGGACTTCTTCAGGGAAAAGGGAAGGATATAGTGCAAATTGAATTTCTGCATTTTGGGCTGTTTTGTGTAGGTTATTTTCTTGAAATGTTAGTAGATTTTTCTCAAGGGTGTTTTGGGTTAAATAGGACATCCTATCCCTTTGTGTAAGGCTTTGTTGAAAACTGAATTACCAAACTACTTCTTCAGTAGTCTGAATTTCTTTGAAACTTCCAGAGCATCCAAAGGATAATAGAATGTGCCTCTGCTAAAGAGCATGGATCATTCTGGAATTTTCAGTTTTCTTATGTAGAAGTTACATCCCATTTTGCATGCTGCAAGATAGCAGGAATGCTGTCATTCAATGCTAATGGTGATGGCAAAGTTGGCAGCACTGTAATTCTAGCAATGTTTGTATCATCTGTAATAGTTGACAGGAATAATAATAAATTTTGAATTAAGTTATTAATAAAACCTAATTATTAGTTAAATTAATTTAATTATTATGAATTAGATTATGAATAAAGCTATGGTCTGGACATTGGTATAAACCAATGAAATATTTTTGTAAATGATGAATGAATGTTGAGATCCAACAATTAATCAGTTTTTAAAATTATTTAACTTTTCTATAAATGTATTGCTAGTAGAAAAGCTATGGAGAACTAAGACAAATACTTTACAGAATACCATTAATACCATTTTGTCAGCCTAATTTATCACTGCATCAAACAATAATGCCAGGTGTATTTAATAAAACTTAGCCCTGTGTGCTAGTGTCATTAATTGAATTGCTGTCTTCTACCACCTTCTGCCTCAGAAATAAATATTAACAGCTTTTACTCTTCAGAGACCTCTTTGACTATTGGAATATTCACTTTAGGATATAATAACATACAAATTAGCTTATTTTTCTTACAGCCGCAAGGAGTAGGTCTTCTGTTAACATAATCTTTGTTTCAACATAAGCTTGCAGCATGTGGAAGGTCATGGGGCACTTGGGGAAATTTTAAATGTCAGCTTGACCTATGTTAAGGCCTAGAGGTCTTGGTTTGCATGCTGTACTATGAAACTCTGTGGGTCTCTGCCACAGGTGATTGAATTTGGGGAATTAGGCATGAGGTGTAGGATCTAAATTAGTGTTAGAAGTGTTAAATTTGCACAGGTCATACTGTAATTAACTTTTATCTCCTGTTGAATATATGTCATGATACTTTTTTAAAAACTGACTCCTCATATAGATGCACTACACAAAAAACTTCTTTTACTTCATTATTTCTTTGTACAGAATTCAAATTTTAGGACTCTTGAGCTCTTCAAAAACAATATTGGTGTTGGATAGCTGCAGTTAAGTATGTCTGTTTTGCATAGTCTTTTGGGTTTTAAACACCAAATCTCTTCCCTTACAGAGAAGTCGATCGGGATTCTGATGGCTGCATCAGCTTCAAAGAGTTTGACTCTGCAATGAAGTATGGACAAGATGAAGTATCACCAGTGTACTTTGCCTAAGGAATATTTTCTGGTAAAAAGACAAAGTGAAAACTTCAGATCTCAAGATATTTAAAAATCAATGAAACTTCATTTGTTTCAGCCAGCATTTTAAGAACTTTGACTGTAAGTGTAGCTCTGAAGAGCAGCCTTTGAAGATTTACTGTTGACAAGTTGGGTGTATTAATTTACATGTGTATATGTGTGTTGAATGCTTAAAATTTTTGAAATCTCAATTGATTCACAATCACACTACTTAGGAACTGGAACTCTGTACTTTTTCTTTTTGACTTAACAGACAAAAAAAAGAGTAATTATGATTTCAAGTTACTGTGAAATTTACTTGTTCACTCTTTCAATAGACCAAAATATTTCACATGTATAAAAACATGTAGACTGAATTTATGGTAGAAAATGCCTGTTGATTTTGGTTTTTTTTATCAGTAGTATATTTGTCCCCCCTTTACTGTTTTATGTACATATATATTGTTCTTGTTTATATATTGCACATTGTTTTTAATTTAACATTTATTAGTTAATTAGCTACATTATTTAGTTCTGAAAAATTACCAAGAACTGTGCATGTTAGGAAGCAAGCATAAATATTAGCTTTTTTGTTGTTGTTGTTTTTTAATAGATTTAAAAATAATTTTTTTAAGCATGGACCTCAGTCTTGCAGGCTGAAAATTCTGTGTATTCAAACCTCCATCTGACTTTTAGGGAAGAATTTGGAGATCTACAGATGATTCGGAAATTCTGTCACTAGCAATTCCCAATAGTTGAGGGACAGTGTAAGGTAGAAGCTTTGATTGGTTATGAAGTTGTCTTTGCCTCTCTCTCCCTCTTTCTCTCTCTCTTTCTCTCTCTGTCTCAGTCTCTTCTGTCCAGTAAGTGGGAGATGTTCTTACCTGCTGTACCTTTATATACATCCATCCAAGCTGTGCTATAATGACAGAAATCTTTTTTATTCTATTTACTTTATCTGTGATCACTTCCTGCTATTGTCTCGTGTTCATATTAATAGTAACAGAAAATAGAGATTTCATTATGGGCACTGTCTCTGATCATATGCCACATGCCATTGCTTCATTTCTGTTTACCTGCCAGTTATTAAGTTGCTTATGGTAGAGATGTTTTTTTTAAACTGCCCAGGAGCAATCCTGTCCTCAAGAGAGCCTAGAGTCTGTAGCATATACTTAATACTGCTGAAAATAATCAGCAAAATAATAATAATGATCAGTAAGAGGAAGAGAGTACCAATTTTACCCTTAAGTCAAGAGAGTCTCCAATTTTTTTCAAATTTCAGTGAGGCATTCCAGAGTACAATTTGCAGGTGAAGCATTTATACAATTATATCTATGTTTTCTGTTCCTGTTACATATATGTTTCTCTCTAGGTACAATGAAACTGGAATCTTTCTCTTTTATAAGGCAGGTAATATGTAAATAATGAGAGGAAGTTGGAAACATTGAGTATATCAGCAGATATATCTGATTCTGTATATAAAAACCAGGTACCTGCTAGATTAAATGAGCTGTAACTCAAATATGCTTTATGTGCTAATCAGTGGGAGCAAACTGGGGTTGCCTTTGAAAGGTGATGGTAAGACATGCTAATAGATTGGAGCTTTGCCTTAGAAATGCCATTTCCCAATAGATGAATGTTTCCATAAGAGAATCATCACCATAGATGTTAATTAGCAATATCATCACATGCTCTTCTGAGATGCAGGAGATTGAATTATTATCCCACAGGGATAGTTGCTACAGGTCTATGCACAGTCATGAGAAAATGTATGACAGTTTGCTGTGTTATTACTTAGACTATATTTTTTTATTCAGTAGGCCTAAGTCTTTTGGTGCCCAGACCCTGTATCCTTCCTAAACACTAAATTCCATGCAGTATTATTTTATTTTGATATATTATTTTATAATTATTTATTTTATAATTATTTATTATTTCACTTATTAAAAAATAATTATTTAGTTCATAAGGAGCAGTTAAAAATGCTATGGCCTCCTGTTTATATTTCTACTATACATATGATTTGTTGTCTAAATAGCTGACAAAGTATGTGGTATATTGTAAATGCATAATGTTCTGTTAAATATTTTACCAAACAGAAAGATCTTTGTATGCCTTTAATAGTGAGAAATGGATATATCTTGTATTTATGGGAAGGAACTCTAGAGAGGAAAGTGCTCTTATCTCCTTTATTTCCATATGTTCTCAAACCTCATTTTCCCAAGGACTTGAAAAGGTGCTATGGACTTGTATTGCTGAGTCAACATAAACTCCAGGAGAGGCCAATGACATTTTTTTGCATGTTGGATTTTTTTTAGAAAAGAGCAGATCTATATTAAAGGATAAGTACTCTCATTTCTCTTCCTGTGGGGACTGACAGAAAGGAACTGCTGATGACCATGGTGAAGTGGAACTGAGTAGGCCATGGTGACACTCGTCCTTTTGAACTAAAATGGAAATTAATTACTAGCTACTGCTTGTCTGGGTTTTGGCTAGCAAACTGCAGAAACACTTCAGCCTTGCTTAAAATCAGATAAAATTAGGAATGACATTTATTAGGTGATGGCCTATTCTTCCTAATGGTTTGGGAAAGAAACAAAAGCAATAGCTACCCAGCTGTTGGGTGAAAGAGGCTACATGCTCCTCAATTTTTGTTTTCTGCTGCTAGTTTAGAGCTCAGCATCAAATGTCAGCATGGAAGGACTGGCAGAGCTAAGAGCTGTGATCAACTTTAACCTACAAGCCGCAACTCTGACAACTGAGTTTAACAAGAGTGATATAAAACAAGACTATTCACTCATTAGCAGGTTACATTCTTATCTGCAACATTTCCAACAGTGTCAGGACATCAGTGATGAAAGTGATATTGTCTGAGATAATAAATTTTTTTTGTTTGATTGCTGCCATCTTTGTCCCTGGGAGCCATAAGTGTCTGAACCTCCAGAACTGGAAACAAAGGAGTTGCAGTAGCTAAAGAGCCATTGCTCTCTAACAAATAGTTATTCATGTACCTTATGGAACAGGGGATGTTCAGGATTTACTTACAAGAATATTATACTGTCTTTTCAAAGTTGGGTACATTTGCTTTCTTACTACATAAACTTTTTCCTGTTTTCTGACACTTCATTTACTTAACAAACAGAATTTCCTTGTTAAAAGTATCCATTTAAAAAACATTTACTTTCCAAGTAATCATCTGTGATCATCTGTTTAAATAATTTTCAAATGTATACTTTATATGCTTAGCCAATTGTCATCATTTTATAGCAAATAGATCATATAACCATAAAATGTTATCAAAGTATATTTTTTTCTTCCCCTGGGGCTTCTGCAATTCCCTGTAGCTGTTGAAAGCTAATAATCTGTAATTTCCTTTCAAAGGATTTGGATGTTTAGATTTTTACCATGGTCTGTACAGACAGCAAAAAAGGAGTCTTTTAGTTTTAAACTGAAAGAGGGTAGGTTTAGTTTGTTTCGAGAAGCTGTGGGTGCTCCATCACTGGAAGCATTCATGGTCAGGCTGGATGGGACTTTGAGTGACCTGATCTTGTGAAAGATGTCCCAGCTTACGGCGGGGGATGACCTTTAAATATTCTTCCCAACCAATCCCATCCTATGTTTCTATTATTTTATTTATTGAATGGACAATTGTAAAACTAGGGTCTTTGGGTAACATGGCACTCCTGATGGCCTGGCCAGTGTAATATACTGAAATCTGGGGGAGTTTTCACTGAAAAATAGTTCAGACAATTAAGTCAAATATCAAGATGGGCCATGCATTTTTTTTTTACTTTTTCCCCCAGTCAAATAATATTTCATCCATTTATTCATTAATCAGAAGAATAAAAATAAATTAATATGTGCAGTATATCATAGAATAGGCAGTATTTCCCTATAAGGTTTCCAAAATAAAACTTTGTGTAAAGATAGTACATTAAGTTTGTGGCAGTGTTACTGTGTCTTCTATCTTTAATCAGCTGTGTGGGTGGTGGCTGACTAGTCAGAGTAAGTAGCTGACACACCAAATGTCACAGTTCAAAGAAAAGCTTTGGCATGACTCTCATTTACTATAATATATCAGCTTTACACTTCTCTGGCAATGAAATGCCATCTTAAAATCAGGATGAATTACAACTGCACTCTGCGTTCCTGCTTTGATTCCTTAACACTATTCTTTGGGAAGGCTGCCCAAAAGTAAAAAAAGAGTCAGGCTTGTTTGTTTAGCATTTTGCGTAGAGATTCCCAGTAACAATCTGAGTTGATACATTATACTATTGTCTAAAAGAAATAGTAGTAACAATTGGGGGTTTTAATCATAGTTATTTAAGTATCCATATTTGAGCCTCTTATTTCCAAGAGGTAAAAAATTAGTGATGACTTTTAAAAGAGCGCAGAGGTTGCATATGCATTAATATTTTGTCTCAAAGCAGTGCAGTTCTGAATGGAATCTCCTGATCTTTCCCACTTTGTGTGTTGGTTTGGTTTGCAGAGTCATTCTGGTCCTGCAAATCAAGATTCATTCTGGAGAAGAATAAACTGGAAGACCATTCTGGGCTCACATGAAACATGCAGAAATGCCCATTGGAGACATGAGTCTGAATAATGACTACTTTGCACCACCAGGGAATTCTCCAAGCCTTCCTGCATATGTCAAGCAGTCCAGCTGCCCATCAGCAACAAGGCATCCCATTCTCCATGTCTGGTTTTTCAATTGAGAGAAAAGCCAGTGTCACTGCCCTCAGTGGATTTGTTTCCATGGCTCAAGGCCTTTCTTAGTCCTTTCAATGGAACCTTTGGGTATTGAGCAAAGTCAGAGTGGGGGCAGAGTTTGCCAATCTGTTCTAGTGTCCCACCACTCTCACAGTAAAGACTTTCTTCCTGATATCTAATCTAAACCTGCTTTCTTTCAATTTGAGACCATTTCCCCTTGTTTTGTCACTACATTCTCTCATAAAAAGTCCCTCTCCTGCTTTCTTGTAGGATCCCCTCAGGTTCTGGAAGGCAGCAATTAGGGCTCCCAAAGCTTTTTCTTTTCCAGACTGAACAAACCTAATTCCCTCAGCCTCTCCTACTAAACTACTAGTTTTGCACTGAAGTATTTGCTAATGTAGAGTCAGTCAGGGAGTCTGATGTTTAAACTTGCTTTGATACCCATGCTGCAGAGAACATCTTGGCCTTAGTCAAATGATACATCTGACTGATACCAGGGAGGAGTATTTCTTTGTGTGCTCCAATCAAGTTTGCACTTGTTTATAAAATTCTTTTTAAAAGTCATTTTAATTTATATAATTTTAATTTACCATTGGCTTTACTATATGCAGCAAGAAGTTGAATAATGTGGACAAAGATGGCCTACAACCTAGCTTTGAAAATTAAGACACCTACAATGGTACATCTTAGAATGAGTTGCTGGGTTAAAAGACCTGAGATATGTCTCCTGAGAAAACCCTACTAGCTGCAGAATATTCATGCTAGAAATGAGAAAACTTTAAAATACTTAATCCTTCTTGGAGAAGAAAGCTGTGATAGATGTTAAATAATT